ATAACGTCAACAATATGTAAGATAATTATTTCAACATGCAACATGAATATGTCAAAATAAAAATATTACAGAAATGTGTAAACATGCAAGATAAATGTAATGAATTAAGAATAGGGGGAAATCGGAGTTATGAAATGTCGCCAACATGCTAGATAACATTGACGCATAACAAATATCTGTCGAAAAGAAACTTATCTACGCTGACATGCAGCTTATTTATTTTAGCATGCGAGATCAATATGCGAAATATATTTAAATACTTTATAAATAAGTTGTATGTAGAGATAAAATAAAAGTTGCATGATGACATACAATGTAAATATGTTGCATTTTATCGTATATTTATCTCACATGTTCAGATACATTAGTTGCGCGTTAAACATATAAAACAATTTGCATCTTGCATGTTAGATATGACATTTGATAATCCAAATTGTTAGTTAATTACATTTATCTTGTATGTCAACAGAGTTATTTTTGTTGCATATTAACATTATTATCCTGCAAAAAATCTTCATGTACTAACTAATAGAAAACAAAAACAACTTGCATACAAGGGGCAGAACTACGCCTCCACATTTATCATGCGTTTTCTTTCATGTTCTGTATTTCATGAAGATTGAAATTGTGTTTAGAGAAGTAGTAAAAGTAGATTGAAATCTTTTTTAAAGCATTCTTATTCTGATAAGGATTACACAATTAACGAAAGTTAAACCTTTCCCCAAACCTGTATATCTTATGACATTCTTATATGGATAAATAAATTCTAGAATTCTCTGTCAATAAATTTTAATATAACAAAACCGAATATAAAATTAAAGGGAATCGCACCTTATTGAGTGCAATTAACAGAAAATTCACGTCTTCTGTAGCTTGCCGCTGTGTTTAAGTGCATAATTATAAATTAGATAGAGCAATAGGCAATTGACAGACATGCAAGATGTAGGATGTGGTTCAAATTTGAAATAGAAATATGCATTATCATGTACATAATAGATTATAAGCTCAACCGATGTAAATAATACTGTTATCTTCATTATTTTTTTCAAATTTTAATTGTTTGAAAAAAAAAAATAATTTTGAGGTATGCACTATTGAAAATTAAATAAAATTCCCCATCCCCGATGCCACGTGCCTGTGGGTTTTTATTTTTCATATACAGTGGACCTTCAGATGTCCGGACCCCAGATATCCGGATGCTTAAGTATCCGGACGATTTTTCATCGGAACGGAATTTTTTTTAACATTATTTTGTCTTGTTTAACTGGTGATTCAGGTATCCGGACACTTCACATGTCTGGACAATTTGACTAGGAACCAAAGCGTCCGGATAAATGAGGTATCACTGTATAAGTAATCATATAAAGCAAAAACTCGCCTACAACGAAGGCTTAACTAGAAATGAAGATTTTTAATTCGTTAAGAATTAATTCATTATGTTTATATTAAAAATTTAATTTTTAAAAATTAAGAAGATGAAAATAAATTGTATTTAATGAAATGTACATTTTCAATTAAATTTAATTAATTGTGAATAATTAAATGAAAAATAAATATTTCATCTGAAAATGTAAAAATTTATTGCTCTTGCTTCCAAAAATCAATGGTAATTTCTCAGCAAGTAAATAAGAAACATAAAGTATAATTGATTAATTTACAAAAATATAGAAGTTTCAGATATTAAAAGGACATTGACACAGTTTCAACTGATTAAAAACAAAAACAATTTCAAAGTTTACAATTCCTAATTAAGGAAATCCATTGATCAGCAAACATTTCAACATCATTTGTTGATCTACAAAGGTAATACAGAACTTATATATTTTTTTATAATGTATACAAGGCTCGTGCTTAGTTTTTGTTTGCATATAAAAAATATCATATTTATAACAAAACAAGATTCAGCAAATCACTAGAAACTTTCTAATCACATTAGAATAAACGTCTTTATTAATAAATTCTGCTTGGAACGAACATATATTTAAGTATATTTAATCTATGTTAAAACCGTGGCACTAGACTTCTTTACAAAACAAAGCTTTGAAGCTCTATATCAGTCTTGTATCTTGACAATTGAAATTTGAATGTTTGATAATCATTAAAACTAGCTTAGTTAATTTTGTAAACATAAAAAATGGAAAAATAAATTTGAAAATTTTCGGCTGAAAATGTCCATGTTTAAGAGTACGACTGAAATATTAATGAAAGAGCGACGACTCCGTTATATCAACAGAAGAACGATTATTGAAATCCATATTCCAATATACCGGTTAAAGTTCCAAGGCGCTTTACCTACAGCGTATAATTTCCCAAGACTGTTTTCATTTGTAGTCTATTTAAAGTGGGTGTATTTGAAGAGGGATATGGAGATAACGTACAGTATTCAATCTCAAAGCCCATAAAACAATTCAAAATAGGAGCAGAGCAAACACGGAAGTCCGAAACATCAGAGGTGGGATCAGGTGCCATGGAGGAGTGAGTATCCCCTGCTGACCTGTCACAGCCGCCGTGTGCTCCTTGTCATGATTGGGAAATAATGGAAAAATAAGTCGTCAATTCAGTGTAGAAATAATGGACTAACAATTAATATGAAAAACCTCAGTCAGCATTTGACTCAATGATAAATTGTATTTGCTGACAAGGTCAATGTATCGACCATAGAACTTATGAAATGATGGCTTTAAACGAGACTGCTGATATTATTGTTTTATCAACTTGCTTGTCAATAATGTACCTTGTTTTCGAAATTGTTCATACGCAGATCATGCACTTGCGTATCGAATCATCTGAGATATGTATACTCCGTATGCAGGTGATGAAGGTATATTGCTGCATAAGTAAGGGAAGTTGACGATAGAAAAGTTAAAGTCATCATGTTTATCATAGAGCTTGGTTGTTAGATTACCATTAACGTCTTTTTCAAGTAAAATACCCAAATATGAAACAGATATATCAGACTCTGTGGTATCTTTTATCTCAACTCACCAGAATATATCGTATCGACATATAGCTGCAGATCTGTACTCTCCGAAAAAATTATTGATAGACCGGAGAGCTACAGAGCCACCCATTGAAAAAACTGTATATTTATTGCGCACAAAAATGCGCTCGTTTCTCGATTTATTTCTCCATGTTTTTAAAACTGTAATCTCAAAATATTACTAACCGTGTCTTCCTAACATATTCTTTGACCCTTTCCACAACAAAACATTCCTCATAATTGTTGTTAATAGTCCTCCTGGCCCTGATATTGCAATCATCGAACATTTCGCTTATTTTTACTGCCATTTTGGTTTCAAAGATAATTCGGTCCATTATGCTTCGTTCAGATGTCAACTACGAGAGAACTTGATAGAGGAGAGAGGAATTTTTTGAAATCTTCCATTTTATGCAATTGGGGTAAGAATTTGGTAGAATTAATCAAGAACTTAGCACACTTTTTTGTGAGCAATAAATATACAGTTTTTTCAATGGGTGGCACTGTAGCTCTCCGGTCTATCAATAATTTTTTTTTTCGGAGAGCTACAGATCTGCAGCTAATCGACATAAGAATGGAAATTATAATTGATAATTGACAATACGTCGTCAGTATATCTAAATGTCGAGTTGAAGGCCACAGTAAGTGTTTTCTTTTCATGAATAAGATTTTGCACAAAGTCTGCTTCGTGTGAATACAAAATTAGGTCTGCTTATAACGGAGCGCAATTGGTACCCATGGAAATTCCAATACATGTAGCTTGTTGGAAGACCTGGTCATATATTACCATTAACGTCTCTTTCAAGTAAAATATCCAAGTATGAAACAGATATGTTAGATTCTGTGGTATCTTTTATCTCAAGCTCACCCGGATATATCGTATCGACAGATATACAGATACGTCAATATTCTGTGTACACCTTCTTACCTTTTCAGAAGTTAATGCTCATATGCATAATAAATTGTGTAAGTACACCCTATGATAATACTGTTATTACACTTAGTACCTACATTAAAAAAAAATAAATCAATGCAAGCTATATTTCCTTGGTCAGTGGCGGAACCAGAGGGTATTATCGGAGTTGCAACCCCCCCTTGGATTTGCTAAAATAAAGAGAAAGAAGAGAATCCGAGATGTTTGTTGTGATTTACTATAAAAAATGTTTTGTGAAAGGCTAATTGAAGAATTTGAATTCGGTTGTGAAAAAACATTGGAGTTCTCTCCCCTTTACAAGATAGGATTTTCGGGTTAGGTGATTTAAATCCTTTCTTTGTGAAAAACTTTCAGGTAATCAATATTTTTTCTATGGCTGAACCCCTGCCTCCAATTTTCGAAAAATGAAACAGTGTACTACAACCTTGTATCCTACTAAGTTGTTTTTATAAACGTACATTGTAACAACTCCCTTTCTCTTCAACACATCCCCCTTCCTTTTGAAAAATTTCTTGATCCGCGCCTATTGCTTGGAGACCTTTGTTCGGACAACGTGCACCTGATCCCAACTTTATGATTTTAGAGCCCGCATTTACTCTGTTACCATTTTGTTTTGTTTCAGTGAACTTTTGTTATCTCCGCCGCATTTCATTATAAACTACAAATTAAAATGTGATTGAATACCCATAGCTATGGATATTGGTTGATTGAGATGAATATATAAAAAGTAAATAATTTTATAATCATTAAAAACAAAGGGTTGAACAAGGGGAACAACTGGGTCGGATCAGGTATCGTGAAGGATTAATCATCCCCGTTCAATGGTCACACCCATCATACGTAGCTTTTCGCTTAATCAGGTATAAACGAAGTTCTCCGTGCAGAAATCAGTGTTTTATATAAGTTCAATCATGTACTTTCACCAGAATTTGTGGCATGATGAAAATGTGTTTCTGTATAAAAGTCGTTATATTGTAATACTTAGTACAATAGTCCTAAGAGATAAGGATTTTGAAATTGCACATTGATAACACAACTGAGTGGAGACTTTATCTGAGACAATAATCATTCTGATAGCATTTCATAGCAATGTGTCTGTTTACCTATCTCCTATGCGGTATATAAATTTTCTTTCTTTCTCTTCCTCTCTCTCTGGATAATTTTCTGACACATTTTTCACTCTTTCAAATCCATTTCGTTTTTCTTCAGGACTCTCTTTGCTGACTTTGTACACCGCTGAAGGTAAGATTTTCATCAAGTGCGAGCTCATCATGTCTTTGTTCAAAAAGGTATGTTTGATTTTTTTTACCCCTTTATTTCGTCCTATATACTAGTAGTTTATGGGACAGTCTAAATATTAAATAATTGTTTAAAGTTATTGAAAAATAAACGAGATGAAGTATATATAGATAAAGAACGGTATTTACGCTCAAAAGTACATAAAACATTACAAAATAGGTGCGGAGCAAACAAGGACCTCCAAATCATCAGAGGTGGGATCAGGTGCCATGGAGGAGTAAGCATCCCCTGCCTTTAACATGTTTAACGAACAGTGACATGCTCAAAATTCCATTCAAACAATAAACCTGCATTGAACAAATGTCATGAAGGAATAATCATGCATAGTTACATGTAACATATAATTATGTTAAGCATTGAGAAGCTGTTATCGGTACGCATATATTAGATTTAAAACATTTTTACAAGTCATCTTATTTTCTATAATTCATAACATTTAGTCATTTAGCCTAACATTAAGTGAAGTCAAGGGTGGACTTTTGTGAAATGACATTGAACATATTTTTTGATTTGGTCATCTTGTGGTCAAGTGCTATCAGGATATCTTTTTTAAGGTGTTGGGTTGAGATGTTTACGTTGTGATGACGTCTTAGAGCCTCGTTTTTGTGAGCGAATAGAGTACTGCCAAAACGGTGACGTAAGAGAATATAAATGTAGCCTATTTTTCATCCAAATATTTTCTAAATATGAAGAAAGCCAGTTCACAAATTGATGAAAAGTTAACAAAGAACTGTACTTAACTTTGAAACAAGGATTTAAAAATACTAATGCTAGTAAATATTCTCTGTATCATATGAAAATATAAAAGAACTACATGTAACTAACTGTAATAATTGCAAATTTAATGCCAGAAAGAGGGATCGAAAGGAAATGTGTTACTTGTGATGTTGCTTCGTGATTGATTTGACTACCATAAACGTTTTGCTAAAGTAACAAACTACAATGTTTTGAACCAAGATATTAAAATTAGTATTGTTTTTAACATGGTTTTATTAATTGACAGGTGTGTGGAGTTCAGAGGTACAGGAAAGAGAACGGAGATACGTCTTTCTGGACTGGTTGTATACAGCAGTCGGTAAACTAACTAAAAATTACTATAGTTCAGTATAGTTTACTGTACTTAGCGGTAGTTAACTAAACTCAACATTTTGTTGATTTAGCAGCTTAAAATATCTCTAAAATGCAAACCGATGATGAAAAATTTTTGAAATATGGAAATATATACTTAAAAAAATCTTTAAATATTAAGCATTTTTAGGTTTCAACTAAAGAACACACAATATATGAATTTGAAATTCATTGTCAAAATAATTTTGATGAAATATACTAGTAGTAAAATCATTTATTGACAACAGTTCAACATTCAGACTTAGTGAACTATAATAGTTTTGGTAGAACCCCCCCAACCCCCCCAACCCCCAAAAAGTTTGAAATATTGGCGACAAATAAGGAGAATTTTTTTGAATTTGTTTTATGCATATGTCAAGTGTAGAACATGAAATAAAAATTAAGGTAACAAGGTAATCTTTTTTTTTTTTTATCAATTTTCACAATGAACAGCAAGATATGAATCAGACTTTATGTTTTCATAAAACCTTGTTTCTTGATGCTGTGGTGTCACTTAGACTTTCGGTCTCCTGATTTAAATATGTCTTAAAATGACTACTTTTATAAACATATAGAGTTGTCCAAACGTCACCAACAGAACGATTGTACAGACAAACAAACGGAAGATTCATGGATCAGTTTTGTGTCAGGAGTGTTGCCATGGTGATTTATGTAACGCAGAAGGCTGTGGGGCCCCAGGTAGGTCGAGTACTGAATATTTCGTATCATTAAGATACAGGACAAACATCACTGTTCTGATAGTAGAATATTTCTTATAAGTTTGATACAGGGCAAAAATCGCTGCTCTGCAAAAGTCCAATTGATTATCATTAGAAATATATCACATTTTGTGTTATACATGTACATAAAATTAATATGTTCATCCAAATGAACATAGGTTAATAACCTTTGAATGGAATTCTTTTATGTATGCAAGGATATGGCACGCCAAATTCACAAAAATGAGCTAAACATAGTTTCATAGTTTATAAACTAGGTTTATCGACTGTAAACTATAGTTTACAAACCGTGAACTCTAGTTAACAATTCGTCAACTATAGTTTTCATTAAAAAAAACTATATATAATAGTTGTTACTATAGTTTACGAATGCTTTATCTACGTTTATCTATCTGTAATAAAACGTTAACAATAGATTTTGTTGATAAACATAGATTCACGTCTGTTAGCTATGATTTACAATCGTGAACTATAGTTAAGAGTTGTTAATTGTAGTTTCCCAAATCGTGAAACTGTACTAGTATTTGTCAGATCGTTAACTATATTTAAGAGTTGTAAACCATATTTTACAAATCATGAAACTGTATTTTTCAGATAATCTATGTTTTTCAATCGCAAATGATTGTTTTCAGTGTTAAGTATAGTTAACGGTTCTGAAACATAGATTATCACGTTAACTATAGTTTACAGATGTAAAATAAAGATTAACGTTGTTAATTATAGTTTACAGTCCGTAAACTATAGTTTACAACCAGGAAACCTAGTTTATCGACTGTGAAACTATGTTTAGCTCATTTTTGTGAATTTGGCGTGATATTCAAGGAAAATAATTATGTTTATCAATCTAAATCGATGACACTTGATGATAAATGTATTTGATTCTTTTTTCATTTCATGACACAACAATATTGATATACCTTTAAAAATTAGACTCTTAGCTACTCGTTTAGAAATGAAAGCAAGAGCTCTTTACGATTTGTAATTAACGTTCATTACGAGAATTTTAATTTTATAGTGTGGCATTTATGTTCGTTTTACCTTAATGTGTTGTAAATAGATGTTTATATGTATTTTTTTCATAATACCAGCCTATCCAACTTCTAGAGGGCCGATCTGTTTTAATTGTGCTCACACCTTAAATCCCTCAGACTGCCATCACGTGACTCTGTGTGGAACCAATGAGGTAAGGGATAGCATATATCTTTATACCGTATAAGCAGAGTTTTTAGCGAGGATTTAATTTTGGCATTATTAGCGAGTGTGCCAAGATCGCTAAAATCTAATATCGCTAAAATTTCATTCCGCTTTATTTGTAAAATCTTTTATAGTGAGCTTTTTAGAATTAAAATTTTAAATTAAAATTTAAAACAAAAAAAATTAAATAAAATTAAATTAAATCAAAATTAAAACTAAAATTTTAAAATCGCAAAAAAAATTTTTTAAGGACAAATCGCTAAATTTGCATCTCGCCAAAATTTTCACTTATACGGTAATAATACATGTACATCAGTTAATTCGAATTTACAAAAGTAACTACTATTATTTGTATGATTTTATATTGATTTGCAGTCCAGTGTAGTGTACATTTTACTTTGATTTGTTGTTAATTGATATGTAAATCAATAGCCTTGTTTATTTATTAATGAAAATGCATAAACGACACACAATTTATACATTTATTAACAACAAGAAGCGTTGTTCATGAAAGGAAAGAATCTTGAATTCTCCTTCTGTCCAAAAAAAAAACACAAAAATCCAATGAGGAAATTAATAAATGCAGATACTCGAACAGTATTCAGTCTCAAATTCCACTAAAACAATAAAAAAAATCAGGAGCAGATAAAACAAAGACTTCTCAAATATCAGAGATGAAATCAGGTGCCATGAAGGAGTAAGCATTCCCCTGCTGACCGGTCACACCCGCTGTGTGCTCCTCGTCTTCATCGGGAAAAAGGGAAAATCCGTAGATAATGCCAAATGTAAACAAAAACTAACAATTAGTGTGAAAAACGTCTGTCATCATTTGATAGGTTTTATTTACTGACAATGCCATTGAATCGACAAATGAATTTAAAATAATGACTACACCATAATCTAAGCCAACTGTATAGCGGGTTTCTTGAGCTGGTGTAATATATATATATATATATATATATTTTTTTTTTTTTTTTTGCTAAATTTGAAGAATTTTTTTTGGCGAAGACAAAGTTCAATTACATTGCAAAAAAGACGAAAATTCACCTTTTAGATAAGATTTAGTACACGTGACATTCGTTTGAATACCGATTTACATAAAGGTCTGAGAAAGTACAATGCAAATTGAAAGTGATATTGCTTAAACAACATACTAATCAAACTTATTTAAGTAATTTTTCTTGTATTCAATATTAATAATGATAAGTGCGGCGATTGAAATTTTAGCGACTTACTACCAAACCTCTAAAATAATATAAACCACAGATAGCATACCACTAAAATACGGTCATACGGGTTAATTTAAAATCATATACTGTAGGGAGCTCTGACGATAAAATACCATTTCAACTATAAAACCAATTGTTAATTGCTTTTACGCTTGTGTACGTTATTCAGTATATTATTGCACGACTGTACTTCTAATCAGAGTTAATCAATGTATCCACGACAGATGTGTTTTCTTGGTGAGAAACCTGTGTTTGGACAACGTTACTTTACAAGTCACTGTGAAGATAAACACGTGAGTATACTCTTAACAAGTCATTGTGAAGCTATGCACGTGTATACACTTAACACGTCACTGTGAAGATTTACACGTAAGTAAACATTCAACAAGTCACTGTGAAGATATACACGTGAGTATACACTGAACAAGTCACTGTGAAGATATCCACGTGAGTATACACTTAACGGGTCACTGTGAAGATAAACACGTGAGTATACACTTAACAAGTCACTATGAAGATAAACACGTGAGTATACACTTTACAAGTCTCTGTAAAAATATATACGTAAGTATACACTTTACAAGTCACTGTGAAGATATACAAGTGAGTAGTCACTGTGAAGATATACAAGTCAGTATACACTTTACAGGTCACTGTGAAGATATACAAGTGAGTATACACTTTACAAGTCACTGTGAAGTTATACACGTGAGTATACACTTTACAAGTCACTATGAAGTTATATACGTGAGTATACACTTAACAAGTCACTGTGAAGATATGCACGTGAGTATACACTTTACAAGTCACTGTGAAGATATACACGTGAGTATTCACTTTACAAGTCACTGTGAAGTTATACACGTGAGTATACACTTTAAAGTCACTGTGAAGATATCCACGTGAGTATGCACTTTACAAGTCACTGTGAAGTTTTACACGTGAGTAAACACTTAACAAATTTTCGTGAAGTTATACACGTGAGTATACACTTAACAAGTCACTGTGAAGATATACACGTGAGTATACACTTTACAAGTCACTGTGAAGATATACACGTGCGTATACACTTTACAAGTCACTTTGAAGATAATACCTGAATATACACTTAACAAGTCACTGTGAAGATATACACGTGAATATACACTTAACAAGTCACTGTGAAGGTATACACGTGAGTATACACTTTACAAGTCACTGTGAAGATAAACACGTGAGTATACACTTAACGGGTCACTGTGAAGATAAACACGTGAGTATACACTTAACAAGTCACCGTGAGGTTATACACGTGAGTATATACTTTACAAGTCACTGTGAAGATATACACGTGAGTATATACTAGTCTTAACAAGTCACCATGAAGATAAACACGTGAGTATACACTAGTCTTAACAAGTCACCGTGAAGTTATACACGTAAGTATACACTTAACAAGTCACTGTGAAGATATATACGTGAGCAAGTATCTAGCAGGTCTCCGTGAATATAAACGTTTAAGTATAAAGCTAACAAGTCACTATGAAGATATACATGTTAGTATACATGTTCACCATACAAGTCAATGTGAAGATATACACACAAGTTTACACCTAACTATTCACTGCAGAAATAAAAAAAAAACATAAATCTTTAACCCAACAAGTCACTGTGAAGATAAACACGTTAGTATTACACGTAACAAGCCAGTGTGAAGTTAAACAAGTAATTATATTCCTAACAATTCACTATGAACATACATGTATTTACGTAAATAAAATAGGGATGGCATTTTTAACCGAATGAGGAAGAGGGGGAAAGGTAATAGGAGTTTATAACAAGAATGAGGAAGAGAGGAAAAGGGTCATAGGGAACTTATAAAACAAATGAGGAACAAAGGAAATTAAATTTTTAAAGATATAAAACTTATAGGGAGCTTGTTACAAGAATGGGTAAGAGGGGGAATGGGTTATAGGTATCTTACAACAAGAGGTTGAAAAAGGGGAAATGAGTAATAGGGAGCTAATAAGAAGAATGAGGAAGAGAGGACAAGGGAAATAAGTAAGTTATAACAAGAATGAGGAAAAGGGGGAAAGGGTAATAGGTAGCCTACAGCAAGAACGAGGAAGATGAGAGGAGGGCGGAAATAAGATTAAAGATAAGCAGGTGCAGCGGGCTGGGATAGCAATGGTGATGGGGATACCGTATAAGTAGAATTTTTAGCGAGGATTTAATTTTGGCATTATTAGCGAGGGTCCTCAGATCGCTAAAATTAAATATCGCTAAAAATTGATTGCATTTTATTTGTAATTATAGCTTCTTAAGTAAGTATTTTAAAATCGCTAAAATTACCTCTCGCTAAAAATAAATTACAATTTTTTAAGGAGAAATCGCTAAAATTGCGTCTCGCTAAAATTTCCACTTATACGGTATCGAATATTTCTTTCTTATTCGTATGTAAATCTTATAGGTTGAGCTCACGGCATTTTAAAAATATTGTTAATATTCTAGGCATGTGAAAATCATGTGTCGGCGCCGATTATTGTTGGAAGAAAACGATCTTTTAGGGGCCGTAGGTCGTATGCACCATGCTCAGGTTGTTGCAAAGGGGACCTGTGTAATATCAACTGTAACGCCACCTTTACTTCTGGTACGATCATCAACACAGGACCTACAAACGGTATATTTTCCTTTAAATATTTCATGTCAATATATTTGAAAGTTGATAATCTTATCCTTACAAACATTTATTTTATTTTATATTCATAGTTCTGTTAAAGTAAAGCTTCCGATATTCTCTAGTCTTATATTATTAAATATATATGTTTGCTTATGTACTTCCACCTTGCTTTGTTCAGCACCGGCTCATTCAACAGAAATACCAGGTAATTACGCCTTCTACGCACATCTTACGTCATCAACATCTAACAATTACGTCATATTCAACAACGTTACAACCAATGAAGGCTTGGCTTACAGCGGGAGCACGGGGATCTTCACTTGTAAATACAGTGGACCGTATGTCTTCTCATGGACAATAGCGACCAGTAGTCATCGCTACACTGATGCAGATCTAGTGATTAACGATGTCGCTATCGGTTCCTCCTTCACAGACTCACGAGGGAGCAGCGTTACCGGCGACTCAAGTACGGGGTTTGTAGTGTATGACCTTAAGTCTGGGGACAAGGTCAGAGTCCAGATCAATGGTACGGCTGACGCAATGTATTCCACATTCTCTGGCTTTCGACTCAGTTACAGTAAGTTTTACTTCTTTTGACGAATGAAAGAGTCCATCAGATCCTTGTACATGTATAATCATTTTGTAGCCGTCAATCATTGTGTAAACTCAATGTTGATATATGATTTTTTATTTTTTCTCTAATTTGCTTTCTGTTTGATGAATGAAGAAGTTGCGTTGTTTCGTAAGAACATAAATCGTAATCAAAGTACTCAGACGTACAGAGAGCCGGGCTCATTTACAGAGTAGAGTGAATTTTTTTTACATAGATCACGTTTATATTCTGATGAAAAAATATTTTAAAATTATAAGCCACTGCCAGTGAGTTTTTCAATCCTAATACCACGGTCCGATTTTTTCAGAATCAGAATTAATCTGGTACCGCAGCTGAATGTAAACAAGTCTGGTTTCCTCTCCTGCTTTACCTCGTATGTGTAGAGAACTACGATAACACTGATTATCAAAAATCCTTACGCTAATGAACTATGTTCTTTGACTTAGGACTGAAGTTTTCAAAGTCATTACTACTAATGTTTTATATAGATAAAACCTCGTTTTATTTTTGTTGCTTTATTTAGCGTTTGCATAATCTCAAAGGCAGTTGAAAGTAAGAACTATATTTTTGCACGTAACTTTAAAATGGCGACTATGGGGTTGACATCCTGCCTTGAACAGGATCACTTAAGCCGGCAATTGCTCTTTGAGCAATAATCCCGGCTAAAAATTAGACTATCGCTCAATGCACGTGAACTAGTCCGTGCATTGTTTTATATGCAAACCATCGAACATAGCGTGCTTTATCAAAAGCAATCAATAAAGCTTAAAATTACCTAGATATGAAACGTAAGATAAACGTATGGTTTAAAAATGATAACTCAGAGAGGGAGTACTTTAAATTTGAGTCTGAAAAAACACGCAAATCCTACTATATATTGTAGATGACTTGTACTTTATATTGTAGATGACTCGTACTTTATATTGTAGATGACTTGTACTTTATATTGAAAATAATTCGTACTTTATATTGTAGATGACTCGTACTTTATATTGTAGATGACTCGTACTTTATATTGTAGATGACTTGTACTTTATATTGTAAATGATTCGTACTTTATATTAGATGACTTGTACTTTATATTGAAGATGACTCGTACTTTATATTGTAGATGACTCGTACTAAATATTGTAGATGACTCGTACTTTATATTGGACATGACTCGTAATTTATATTGTGGATGACTCGTACTTTATATTGTTGAGATGACTCGTACTTTATATTGTAGATGACTCGTTTTTAGCTCACCTGAGCCAAAGGCTCAAGTGGGCTTTTCTGATCAAATTTTGTCCGTTGTCTGTCGTAGTCGTTGTCGTTGTAAACTTTTCACATTTTCATCTTCTTCTCAAGAACCACTGGGCCAATTTCAACCAAACTTGGCACAAAGGATCCTTGGGTGAAGGGGATTCAAGTTTGTTCAAATGAAGGGCCACGCCCTTATTCAAGGGGAGATAATTATGAATTAGAGAAAAATTATAATGGCATTTTAAAAAATCTTCTTCTCAAGAACCACTGGGCCAGGAAAGATGAAACTCATGTGGAATCATCCTCAGGTAGTGCAGATTCAATTTTGTTCATATCATGACCTCCGGGGGTAGGATGGGGCCAAAATGGCCGATCAAAGTTTTACATAGGCATATATAGGAAAAATCTTTAAAAATCTTCTTCCCAAGAACCATTAAGACAGGAAAGATAAAACTCATGTGAAATCATTCTCAGGTAGTGTAGATTCGAATTTGTTCAAATCATGACCCCGGAGGCTAGGATGGGGCCATAATGGCCGTTAAAAACGTTGGAATATATAGGAAAAATCTTTGAAAATCTTCTCAAGAACCAGTGGGCCAGGAAAGATGAAACTTATGTGGAATCATCTCAGGTAGTGTAGATTCAAGTTTGTTCAAATCATGACCCCCGGGGGTAGGGTGGGGCCAAAATGGACGATCAAAGATTTTCATAAGAATATATAGGGTTCGAAATCTTTTAAAATCTCCTTCTCAAGTACTTCAAAGCCATGATTAGTGATATTTATTTGAAATCAGCCGGTGTGCTCAGGTGAGCGCTGTGGTCCCTGGGCCTCTTGTTTATATTGTTGAGGTGACTTGTATTTTACATTGTAGATGACTCGTACTTTATATTATAGATGACTTGTACTTCAAATTGTAATTGACTCGTACTTTACATTGTAGATGACTCGTACTTTATATTGTAGATGACTTGTACTTTGTATTGTGGATGACTTGTACTTTATCTTGTAGATGACTCGTACTTTATATTGTAGATGACTCGTACTTTATATTGTAGATGACTTGTACTTTATATTGTAAATGATTCGTACTTTATCTTGTAGATGACTCGTACTTTATATTGTAGATGACTCGTACTTTTTTTTTGTAGATGACTCGTACTTTATATTGTAGATGACTCATACTTTATATTGTAAGGGGTGTTAAGAAAGTTCGTTCCAGCATGAAATATTTTCAAAAATTTCAAAGTAGTGCTTAACTAAAGAGATGAATTTTCAAGTCTGACAAAATCACAAGAGTGTGCTTTAGATTTATAGCAATTCATTTCTTGAAGGAAATAAAAGGATTTTTCTTTCATATGAAAATACGTGTAACATCTTTTAAGCACCCGAATGATCTTGAGTGAAAATAGAGAACAATTTACTTTTGTTTCTTCATAACTTATCTTGCAAAAGACAAGCTGGTGAGCGTAGATATAAGAACGATAGATCTCTTTTCATAAGAATGGGATTGTCATTTTGAATTTTTTTTTACAGATTTGGTAATTTTTGCATAGTATTTGAAATAATGTTTTGACCTGTATACTTAATATATATTACAAATGTGCGTCATCTTTAAATTTCCTGAAAATACTTCATCTGTTTTAATACCTGCCCTACCGTTATTGATTCAACAAAAGACAGTTCAAACCTGATCACTAGGAAGAATGGACTCTTTATATATGGACTATCACAAATTGTAAATAACTTCTCATCTTATTTCTTTTCGAAAATAAAAGAAAAATGTAGAACGAACTTTTTTAACACCCTTTAGATGACTCATACTTTGTATTGTAGATGACTCGTACTTTGTATTGTGGATGACTCGTACTTTGTATTTTAAATGACTCGTACTTTATTTGGTTGAGATGACGAGTGATATATATTTAGATGGCTCGTACTTTACATTGTAGAAATGACTCGTATTTATATTGTAGATGACTCGTACTTTATATTGTACATGACTCGTACTGTATATTGTAGATGACTCGTACTTTATATTGTACATGACTCGTACTGTATATTGTAGATGACTCGTACTTTATATTGTACATGACTCGTACTGTATATTGTAGATGACTCGTACTTCTATGCTAGAGCCTCTTCCTCCCTAACCAGACCTTCTTCCTCTTCATATGGCTTCACTTTCGATAATGTAGTCACCAACAACGGGAACGTGTACCATTCCGGAAACGGCACGTTCGTCTGTCCAGAGACCGGTATGTATGCCTTTGCTTTCTCTGTAGAGGCCCATCGACAGGACTACATGGTGTACTTTTACCGTAATGGCGGCAAACGTAATGATCTCGGGGTGTGGCCGGATTCCTCTTCTGGACCGTACGAAGACACGTCTTCTACCTTACAGATTTTCCCTCTGACCCGCGGAGACAGACTCTACCTTTACCCGTCTGAGAGCAGCACTCTTCAGCCAAAGCATTCAACATTTTCTGGATGGCGCATTGGGACAAGTATGGATATGCTCATCTAATATAAAGCAGCTCAAGTACCTTATTGTCATCAAAAAACTTCCTAGCCATTTTTATGACTGTGCCTTTTTATTTTGTTTCATTTTCTCTAAATCTGCAAGTTAGTCTTAGTAGGACAAGAAAGTGATATTAATTAAAATCATATTAGGTGAGGATGATTTATTTATTGAATAAATCATTACTAATTCCATATAATTAAGATTTTGTTAAATTTTTGAGATGTTATTCCATATCAGTCTTCTACAACTCAGAAATAATCAATCATCTTTAAGGTAGTTCCCCCTCAGCGTTCATGGCGATGGCTCCCTCCTCAACCACCACTTCTCCGCTCTACTTCAGCACAGAATATCTGGACACATCCAGCTTGTTCTACCACACTAGATTTCAAGCTAACAAAGATGGCGTCTACTTATTCTTCTGGAATTTGGAAGCTGATAGTAGACACCTTAAGTCCTGGCTGCAAGTCAATAGTGGAACTGTAGGACAAACGGTATCTGATGGACGAAGCGCAGGATATGATAGCGGCTCCAATCTCGCCATTTTGCGCCTGCGTAAAAACGACATCGTCACTGTCAAACAGGATTCAACAGCTGATGGAGACCAGACCATGATTTCCGGTTATTTTATGTTCTCATAAACCATGATTTCCGGTTATTTTATGTTCTCAAAAACTTTTGTACGTTATATAATTATAAAGAATAAAAATGTAAAACTGTATTCATCTTTTTGATTATTAAATGTTTTGTCATGTTAGGCTCTGCCAAATCATAAACAGTATAAGGATATTTAGAGATTTCCTTCAGATGGAATTCTTAGTAAATTATAAATTTAAAGTAACTTTGACTGAATAGGCTGTGTTCACTGTGTGTTGGATACCCGAATACTTGAAAAGGGTACTCATATCGATACTGATCGATTTTTTTGTATTTTTTGTTACAAAATTGTGATGCAGTTCTATGCAATTTATCGAAAAAACATCACAAAAACCGACTTATAAGGAATGAATTAAATATCTACGAATTTATACGTGTATAACCTAGGTTAGGACAATCCATGCTTTATAAACTGCAGAGTGGTTGATAAAAAAGATTAAACCGTTCCAAAAAAGGTTATACCCGTGTAACTTAGGTAGGAATTACATTCATTCCTTCAAATTTAATTTTCCTTCCATGAGTGTAGAAAATAAATTTTTCCTTCAGAAATGTCTTTGATAAATCTTATTCTAAGAATAACTTCAAGCGGATTGATACGTTTCTGACGTTCATAAGTCGTTGTGATGTAGGTGACACAGGTTATATGCAATATAAGTTAAATTTTCTATCCAATCAAAATAATGGCGTGTCACAACTAAAATTAAATAATTAAATTGAATTAGCCAGAATCCATAATCTATCCTGCAGTGCCCATTATGCATCGGAAAAATGAAATGTTGATAACGTCCTAGCTTCATCGCAGTGGACTTCAACAGACATTAAATTGCTATCAAATACTAATAAGAGACAGAAAAATATTTATTTGCTTCATCTGAGAAATAACTATTTTAATTCAGCTGCATTTATCCATCCACAAATATAAAGAAATCTTAATTCCATCACTTCGCACGTTAGATATGCTTTGCAATGTGTACACGTGTTGCTTATATGTACCAATGGACGTCAATTTGTGAAATGTGCGGTAAGTAGATACTGTCGCCGAAGACAATTTGTAGAAAACGAGAATATACTAGTATTCTATCACAAGACTGATATTTCATGGATGTTTGAAAGAAGGAGAGAAAACGACAAGTTTGTAATGTAATAGGACTTACGAAAGGAGGAAACTTGCATTTTGGGTCTTACATGTAGAATGATGGATATGGAGATAACGAACGGTATTCAATCTCAAAGTACATAAAACAATACAAAATAGGAGCAGAGCAAACACGGACCTCCAAAACATCAGAGGTGGGATCAGTTGCGATGGAGGAGTAAGCATCCCCTGCTGACCGGTCACACCCGCCGCATGCTCCTTGTCTTGATCAGGAAATAACGAAAGAATCCGTTGTCAATTCAGAGTATAAAATGGACTAACAATTAGTATGAAAAACGTCAGTCCGCATTTGACTCAATGATAAATTGAATTTGCTGACAGGATCATTGTATAGACCATAGAACTTACGAAATGATGACTTTAAACGAGGCTGATGATATTCTTGTTTCACCAACTTGTTTGTCAATAATTTACCTCGTTTAAAGAATTGTTCATACGTAAAACATGCTCTTGCGTATCGAATTTACCGAGATATATAAACTCGGTGTGCAAGTGATGAAGGTTTACATGTATTATTGCATAAGTAAGGGAAGTTGACGATAGAAAAGTTAAAATCATCACGTTTATCATAGAGCTTGGTTGTTAGATTACCATTAACGTTTTTTTCAAGTAAAATATCCAAGTGTGAAACATATATTTAGAAATAAGTCAAATGATGATAGAATTCAAAGGGCATTTGAAGATTCCTTATCCTCTCAATGAAATCCGAACAATTATCAAGCTCAGTGGTCCATTCGAGTGAAAATTCTCGAGAGGGAGTTAAACAACAAACAAAATAGCAAACAAAAGTCCGTTAAAACAATACAAAGTTGGAGCAGAGAAAACACGAACCCCTAAAAACATCAGAGGTGGGATCCAGTGCCATGGAGGAGTAAGTACACCCAGTCGACCAGACACGTGTGATTCCTCTCATGATCAGGCAAGCGAAAAATCCGTAGATAATTCGGTATGAAAATATTACTCCACCAATTTACACGAAAAAAGTCACTCATCATTTGACCAAATGAAAGATTATATTTGCTGACAAAGTTATTGTATTGCCCATAGAATTTGAAAAATATTGAATTTAAATTTGACTATTGATATCCTTGTAAAATAAACATATTTGTGTAGAGCCTGCCTCGTTTTCGCTTTGTTTGTGAACATAAGAACAAAATATTAATGTTTAATGGAATAACATTTAAAAGAGGTTGTGATTATCTCAAGAGATTTTGTATATTTGTTTTATTTGGGTAAAATTCTTGGGTTTTCATTAATTGATCTTCTTTAAAAATAAAGCGGAAGTCTAAAAGAAATTCCAACAGTACTGCTATCTCTAAATGTCACAGATGTAATTAATTGTCCATTGGACAATGTTTATCGTATGGTTAATTTGTGTCCGATGCATGGCGAAATGAACCTAGCATAACAAACAGTTATTAAGTAAGTCAATACACACTTTGGAATGGCATTTCTTGAAATTATTCATCATTTGTCAGTCATTCACGATATTCACCTACGAAGGAATGGTTCCTTTGAGGTCTAAAAAAGAATGGCAATTTACTGCAATTTTTTTTCCGAATCATATAATTCTAGTACTCCCCCTTCATGATGGTCAGTTATGACCTCTTTTCAAATCAATAATGAAGGGTTTTTTTAATGTTAATGAAAAAATGCTTTCATTAAAATTTTTTAATTGTTGGCTTAAACAGTTGTTGAAAAAGAAAGCAAGTAAAAACACGGAAACATTCAAGTTTAATACATTTTTCTTGCTTAAGGACAGACGAGACGTTCCTTAAATAAATTTTTTTCTAATATTTTGTCATTGAAGAATTACTACTTAAACACGTTTACCCACAAAAAATTGAGGCACCTTAGCAGGCATTTATGCAAGATACCATATGATGACATTTCTTATATAATCCTTTAGGAAAAAACAGTTTGCCAAAATTATATTCTAAGTGTTTCAAATTTACAAAAACAATTAGAATCCGGTTTAGAAATCAAAAAAGTAAATAAAATTTTATATATTTTTCATATATTATAAAGATATACAAAACAGATAATTTGGGAACGTATCATCTGACCTTAAAGTTGTCCGAAGCAAGGTATGCGTCCGATGCATGGTGAACTCACCCGATAGCTTTTAAGGAGGCTGGGGGGTCAACAATTTAACCACAAAGTAACCACCAGATTTAACTTATTTTTTTAGATATGGTATCTTAAGCTGTCAACATTCATTTGACAAAGAAAAAAATCATAAATTTTAGTTTTAAATTTTGATCATTTTCTATATCTTTATATGGAGCTCTCCTTTAAAGGAGATAGAAATTCTGAAAATGGCTGCCACCCCCCAGCCTCGTTAAAGAAAAGAAACTCGGACAAAGTGTTTATTGAGAATGTGAAAAGCATATTGGTGTAATAAAAGAATTTATATGAAATCATAGATTCATATAAATTCATAGATTATGTTCCTATATTCTTGACGTAAAATATAAAGAATAAAATTTAGGAGAGAAGGAAATGGTAATCAGAGAACGCTTACTAGGGGACGTTTTTGTCCGTTTTACAGCAAAATTTCTCTAAAGTATCAAATATTTCTAAAATCTGCAAGATTATGATATGAGAAACGTAGACATGATACATAACTTTTATAAAGTCTCAAAAACCAAGGTTTTATTTTAACATATTAATATTTTAAAGTCATCATCTCGTAAGTTCTATGGTCGATGTAATGACCTTGTCAGCATATACAATTCTTCATTGTGTCAAATGCTGACTGACGTTTTTCATATCAATTGTCCATTATTTATACACTGAATTGACGAAGGTTTTTTCCCGAACATGAAAAGGAGCACACGGCGAGTGTGACTGCTCGGCAGGGGATGCTCACTCCTCCATGGCACCTGACCCCACCTCTGATGTTTTGGAGGTCCGTGTTTGCTCTACTCCTATTTTGTATTGTTTTATGGAATTTGATTTTGAATACTGATTGTTATCTTATCCTTCATTTTTATGATATAAAAAAAAAAACAAAATTGAATCACTGACAATTAACACCACACCAATAAATAAGCTCTGACTTGTTTACACAAATAGCAATCTTGTGTTTAATTTATTCTAAAGATTTAAATGTGTGGTTTTGATCTTATTTCAGCAAGATCTACGGTTTTTTTTTTTTTTTTTTTTTTTTTTTTTTGTTTTGTTTTTTTTTGTTTTTTTTTTTGTTGCCTTTTAACAACATTTTGGAATTACACTATATATTATACTGTGTTCCAAAAATTATGTCACAGCAATACAATACCCTAAAAATGAAGCGTAATTGTAAGCCTCCCAAGGGATCTTCGTGATTAGCTGTCAATTATAGTTAAAGAACAGTGTTCAAGCTCACAATTACATATAAAAAAGTTATGAAGGTAAATGTAGACGCACGACACATTAGAGGTCTGACACTGAGATTTTTGCAAGTGCCCCGATGTGTCCTTGTAAAATCTGGTTAATGTTAGAAGACTGTTAGAAGTGAAAATAACAAACAGTGATCAATCTAGTTAATCAATTAAAATATGTAAGGGCAAACAACAGACATCTTGAAACCCCTGAGGTGGGATCAAGTGCCTAGGAGGAGCAAGATTCCCAGCTGTCGCCAGGTAGACGGACTAACAGGTATTCAAAATTATTATTTAGACAAAAACCTGGAAACCTGAACATGCCAAGCAAAACAGGAATTTACGATAGGTTATTTTTGTACACAACATAATTAAAGTCAAGTTGAAAATAATTAATTCTTGGGCTAGTCATTGTTGTATCACAATGTAATGCTTTTTTTTCAATCATTCAAATGAAGTACATGTAT